GCGATCGGGAGGGGCTCCCACACATGCGACGTTCTGATCTTTCCCAACTATCCTGTGGTTTGGGGTCTTCGTTTTGAAGAGACGGTCCCCGCGTTCACTCCTCCTTTTCCTTCCCCTCCCGCTGCCCTTTCCCTCCTCCTCCTCCTCTCCTCCTCCGCTCTTCTCCTCCTCCTTCCTTCTTCTCCTCCTCCCTCCTTCCTCCTCCTCCTCCTCCTCTCCCCTCTCATCATCATCATCATAATCATCATCATCGTCATCATCATCAGCAGCAGCATCATCATCACCATCATCACATCATCACCATCACCACCATCATCATCATCATCATCATCATCATCATCACCATCATCACCATCATCACCATCACCACCATCATCATCATCATCATCATCATCATCATCATCATTATCAACATCATCACCATCATCGCCATCATCGTCATCATCATCACCGTCGTCATCATCATCATCATCATCATCATAATCATAATCATAATCATAATCATCATCATCAACATCAACATCATCATCATCATCATCATCATCATCATCATCATCATCATCATCATCATCATCATCATCATTATGATCATGATCATCATCATCATCATCATCATCATCATCATCATCGTCATCGTCATCGTCATCGTCATCGTCATCGTCATCGTCACCATCATCTTCATCGTAATGATTTCCATCATCGCCGTCGACCGTAGCCATTTTGCCCAATACGGAACTTAGTTCCCGTCCCGACTCCAGAGGCTCGAGGCTGAGGTGGAAGGGCAGCCCCTCCGCAGGCCTGGCTGCCTCAACTAGCTTTCAGCGAACTCCTGTCTGAAGCATCCCTTTTCGTCCCTCGGCGCTCCGAGGGCATAGGTCGTGCGGCACTCTTGGTCCGGCAGCGGCCTCCATGAATGACGGCGGCGTGGTACGTGGACCGAAAACCCCGTTCTGGGGGTGCCAGGGTTGCGGGCGCACGAGCAATTGGGCATGCAGGCTGCGGTGCCGATGCGGGCTCAAGGCCCCCGCCTTGGTGCTGCAGCGTGCCAAGGCATTTGGTAGCAACGGCGGCAGGAGTCATGATCGTGGTGCTGACTCTTGGCGTGGCCGTCCGCCCGCATCGGGTTCGCGTCGCGAGGCAAAGCTACAGTCCCAGATGGCCGAGTTGCAGAAGAAACTGGACCAGCTCCTGGGCGGAAACTCCACCAAGCCTGCTCGCGGCGCCACCGGCGGGCAAGGTGCAGGAGGGCAGCAGGGTGGGGCTCAGGCCAACGGAGGTGCTGGTGAGGAGCCCAACCCACTCCCAGTCCGAGCGCAAGAGTTGGGGGCGGCGATGGAGGCCTGCGGCACGGCCGAGGACGCAGCAGAGGCGCGCACGCTACTTGAGGGCAAACCCAAGCTGATGCGCACAGAGATCGAGAGCAAGAAGCCGAGCATCACCCAGCACACGAATGTTGGGCACAGGCTCGCGCGGGCTACAGCCAAGCTGGAGAAGGTCACGGCGAGCTGGAGGAGCACAAGAAGAAACTCGAGGAACTCAGCGCCTAGACGGCCGATATCCAGGCACGCAAGGTTGCTGCAGCGGCGGGGGTGGCAGAGTTGCAGAGGCATCACATCCAGTCCCCCCTCGTGCCGCTCATGGTGATGATGGTGACAGCAATCAGCCTTTGGATTCAACCTGCCCCCGACATGCTGGAGGGTAAGGACGCGATCAAGAGCATTCTCGCCACCCCCGAGTTTCAGGAGTTTGCGACGATGTTCGCCGATCATCGAGCTGCTGCTGGTGGCGATCGTGCAGGCGCAGGTGAGCCTCGCGATGAGGAGGCCGCTGATGGGGAGGGTGTGCCCACCCCGCACGACACCGAGATGTGCGATGCCTTCGAAGACGAAGCAGCTGCGGAGGCCTTCTGGAGGAATCATAGTGGCGAGAAACGAGCTTTCACCCAGTCCCTCCTCGTCGCCAAGCCCGGAAGCCAAACCCCGAAAATGAGCCCGGCATGGGCGCGCAGAAGAGCGACCGCGACGTCCACCGAGCAGGCAAGCGATATGGCAGACGTTTTGCCTGGTGATACTGTGCGGTTCTACTCGGATGCGTGTGAGTCGGAGTGGCTGCACCAGCAGACTTTCGACGACTGGAAGGCAGCATGGTACCTCTCCGATGTGCGGCAGTACGGTCAGGGCGCCAACTGCAGCGAGTTCGACACGAGAGGCGACCAGATGCACAGTTGCGTTGCCGAGCCGCCATTGCGCCGTGAGCTGCCTCGTTCTCTGTTCTTGGCAGCCAAGGCACGTGTCACGTCACGCTTGGGCCCAAGTGCACTGGCTTTCGCGTTTCAGCCCACGGCGTAGGCTTTCCGCCGCAGTCCGCCCCCCCCCCCCCCCCTCGCCGAGCTTGATAGCCAAGCTCACGCGCTTGCGTTGTATAATGGTAGCAGCTGGGGCACTCTCAAGGAAAGACTTAGGAGCACACAGGCGCTGGTGCTGGTGGTGTTGGCACAGGAGGTGGGCATAACTGAAGATGACCTGGCTGCGAGGACCGCCGCGGCTAAGAATCTGGAGTGGACACGTTGTGCGCTCCGTCGGTTAAGTGTGCAGGGGGGCAAACGTCAGCTGGAGTTGCCATTCTGGCGAGGACCTCGTTGGGCCTCAGGTGGCCGTCGGGTTTGCCACGTGGGATACTCGTCTCTCTCACAGGTTACTGTTCGCTACGATAGACATGCCAGGGCGCCCCGAGCTCCTCGCATGTTGCGCGTGCATGCACGCCAGAGAGGGTCCGGTCAAGCGGAACATCACCACTTTAAAGCATGCAGGGTCGACCTTGGAGGGGGCCCACCTGTCGGAGTTCGGGGCTGATTGGAACTTCCCGGCGCTTGCTGCAATGGCGCCGGGCATGCCTCGGGGAGCTTCGAACCCGGCATCGGAACCTTTGCTACCCCGAAAGCGAACGCCAAGATCGATTACTTTATGGCATCGGCGGCCGCCTTTTGCAAGCTTGTCGAGGCAACCGAAGTGGGCGGCGCGTGGCCAAGGCGGCCCCGTCGACCTGCTCACCTCCGTGCATGGCCTGGGGCTGTGAAATGCAGCAGCTCGCGTGCCAAACGCGCCAGCAGTTGCCAGTTGAGCGCCCCGCTGCCCCCCCCCCCGCCGAATGATTGGTCCGTGGCCCGAGCGGTCGCTGAGGGGGCGAACCGCGGAGCTGGCCGCGAGGAGGTCGCCCTCGCCTGGGGGGGGGGGGGGGGATTGGACAGCGCTTGGAAGGTTTTCCCTGGCGCCATGGAGTTAGAGTTGGGAAGTAGAACTGGCGCGCCCATCAAGCGCGAGGGGCTCGAGGGCATGCAGTTGCAAGCTAAGTTGGTTCCCGTCCTGGCTTCCCCGAGGTGCAAAGTCGAAGGCGATATTCGCATTGGGGAGGGGGTTGCGGCGGGGGATGGCGAACCTCCGAAACACTAGTCAACGGTTGCTTGTGCAGTCGGACAAGTTGGTTGACCGCGCTGAAATTCAGGTGGCGGCCAACCTCGTTCATATTATCAGCCGGCCTTTTGAAGCCGAAGGTTTGTCTCCGAGGTTGGATCCCGCCGTCCGCGAGGCGCGGGGGATCGCGGCGACCTGGCCGCGGGATTTCGTTGCCCTCGCTGGGTGGATTGGCCGCTGCTTGGAGACCGTAGGAGAGTGGGCTGAATATTTCCCCCGTGACGGGCTGGGCCAAACAGCCAAAACGAGTTGGGGCCAGTGGCGAACGGAGGCGCTGGCGGGGTCGGCCCGCAAGATGCGCCGCCTCGCGAGGTTGAAGGCCAAGTGGCAGCCGACGGCGATGGAAGCCAGTCCTGAGATTTTGTCGTCGGACCCTCGAAAGCTGCTGGCCCGAGAAGCTAACGTTTTGGGGGGGTCGAAATGCCGCCGCCATGCCCCCGCCTGTCGACGTGCCTGATAAACGGCGCGTTGAAGGAGCCGCGGCGGCTGAATCGCGATCGGCCTCCAAGATGTATTCGGCGCGCGCGGCTCAGTCCCTGGGTGGGATGCGCGTGCGTCATTTCGCCTGCATGTCTGATGCTGGCTTGGACACTCTCGCGCGCCTTTTTCATTGCGTTGAGAGTTCGGGGCTCTTCCCCGAGGCCTCGCGCTGGATGTTGCCCCCCCCTCCTGGAGAAGCCCGGGGGGGGGTTTGCGCCGGATCTTATTGTGATCCTCGCCAGTTAGGCTCTGGGAGCGATTGAGAAGACCCCGTCTGGCGACGTTTAACGACCGCCACCCTCGAGGTTACTGGGCCTTCGGAGCGGGGGGGGCTGGCGGGGGGTGGCGCGCGGGGCCGGGCGGTTAAAGCTGAGGCCCGCGTGGCCGAGGGGGGGGCCGCCGCGGGGTTCTCCTGGGGCGCATCGAAGTACCATGGGAGCTTCGACCTCGGGACTGTTCGGAGTAGGGGCCACCGAGCTGGGCTCGACCCCGTCATCTTGAAGGTCGCCTTCAACTTCTGGAGGGGCCCTCGGATCTTACGTCTTGGCGCGGGCCATGCGCTGGCGGTGTTGTGCGCCGAGGGCGGGCCGCCGGCAGGGTTCGCTTGCGACGATATTTTTGCGCGCGTGAACGCGCTCGAGCTTTTCGAAGGTTTCGTGCGGCGGAACCCCTGCATCGATCTCGCGCCGCATGTTGACGACGACGCAGTCTCCGCGTATGGCGCGGAGGCAGAGGGCATCTATGCTATTGAGAGAGCGGCGCTCGACGCGCGCAGGGTTTTCACCCGGGAGCTCGGGGTGGTGGCGTTCGGATCGTCGCCCGCGGCTGCTCGTCGCCTTGGGGGGGGGGCTTGGGGGCCCGGCGGGGCAAGTCGGGGGCCCGCCAAGTTCCCCATCGGCTGCTATTTGGCCCCCGGGGGCGAGCGCAGCGAGAAACGCCGCTTCAAAAAGAGACGGGGTAGGCCCCAGGATCAGACCCGTAGGCGCCGCGTTCTCTGCAGGTATCGCAGGGCCCTCCCTAGGGGAAATTTCAGGATCGGAAAGATCTACA